AAAAAAAAAAAAAAAAAAAAAAAAAAAAAAAAAAGAGAAAAAGAAAGACATGCTCCATATACCAGTAAACATTTGGAATAAAGAATAAAAGTACAAAATATATTTAGCTGTGCATTCTTAATTTTGAAGCTAGGTCTATGGGTGTTGAAGCCTTAGGAAGGTGTGTTGGGGAGAGCATTAATTTGGAGGGTCTACTACTGTGCTGGGGTCTCTACCTCCCCTCAGAGGCCTCGTCCCTGGTGTGTGAGCTGCTAGGCTCTGGAGGGCTCAGGGAGAGGATCTGGCTCAGGGCTTGTCCAGCAGCAGCAGCTTAGTTCATGACAGAACATTTTTGTGTTCCTCTCAAGAAATCAAACATGTACAGGCCCTTATGTACTCTGGCCTCAAGACCCTCCCTCTTGTGGTCTGTTTTGAAGGAAAAGATTTTCACTCTAAAGGACAAGAGCCACAAGAATGGACAAAAGAGACATAGCTGATGACACCCCTGCATGGTGAAGCTGGAGGCCCCAGCAGGAGAAGCTGGGGACTCTCAGGGGATGGCAGGGGTGTGTCTACCTCTGCCCTTTTCTGCTCTTTCAGCCTGTCCTTTCCAAAGGACTCCCCTGGGGTGTCAGGCTTGAGGTCTGCTTGAGACTGGGAAGTGAGAGATCTTTGGGGCTCTGTTCTGGCCCACACTTCCCAGAGCAAGTGTATAAAAGGGGCAGCTCAGGGTCAAAGTGCAATGAAAGTTCAGAGAACAGGACCAGAGATATCCCCCAGCTAGTAGGAGAGGCCAGTACCTTTGTCCCCTCACCAGCAGCCCTTTGGAGTTAACTTGACACAAACCTATACATATTTGGGGAGAGGGGATCTGTTTTGGGGTGGGGTGGGGTTGAGACAGGGTTTCTCTGTGTAGCTTTGTAGACAGGCTGGCCTCGAACTCAGAGCCGCCTGCCTCTGCCTGCCAAGTGCTGGGATTAAAGGCTTGTGCCACTACCGCCCGTTGGGAGAGGGAATCTTAATCAAGAAAATGCCTCCATAAGATTGGCCTATAGTCAAGTCTTAAGTAATGATAAATGTGGGAGGGGCTCTATAATAAAGCAAGCTGAGAAAGCCATGGAGAGCAAGCCAGTAAGCAGCATTCTTCCATGGCCTCTGCTTTGATTCCCGCCTCCAGGTTCCTGCCTCAAGTTCCTGCCCCGACTTCCCACAGTAACAAGAGTGTGACCTGAGAGTTGTAAGAAGACATTTCTGCCCCAAGTTGCTTTTGGCCCCAGTGTTTTAGCACGGCACTAGAGACCCTAAGACAGATCCCCCAGGACTCTTGTAGCCATCCTAGTGCCTGAGGTACTCCCAGGGTCCCTGGATACAGCCCCAACTTTACTCCCCGACAAAGGCCTGTCTTGGTCTGTCCAGGCTGCAGTGGCAGGGTACCACACTGTGTTCTGGAGGCTGGAAGTCTGAGTCCATGGTGCCAGCATGACTGGAGTCTGGTGAGGGCTATCTTTCAGCCCTTTCACATGATCATCTCATGGCAGCAGAGCCAGGAAGCAAGCTCTCCTGTTCTTCCTTCTTACAAGGCACTGATCCCATTCACAAGGGCCCCACCCTTATGGGCTAATCATCTTCCCAAGGCCCTGCTGCTAAAATCCTTACATAGACGATGGGGATTTACTGTATGGAGGTGGAGGATACGGACATCCAGTTTATAGCATGTCTGCCTTCTCCTTCTGTCTCCCAGCATCCTGTTTGCTGACATCGAGGGCTTCACCAGCCTGGCATCCCAGTGTACTGCCCAGGAACTGGTCATGACCCTCAATGAGCTCTTCGCCCGCTTTGACAAGTTGGCTGCGGTGAGTCACCCTGAGTGTGGGCTACAGGGTTGCCTGGACTGGGCTGTCACGGGAGGGCCTTAATAAGGTTGAGGGCATTAATCCCAGTCTGCTCTACTGGGTGGAAACTGGTATTGAGCACCTGTGCTGGGTAGAAAAATCTGTCAGCCTGCAGAGAGTGTCCTCATGTCCCACACCATCTCTGGCAACACAGTGGGAGACATTACTCCCAGTTGTGAGGTAGTTTGAAGGGGCCGTCCACTGACATAGGGCACAGCTCTGTTTATAGACAGGGTGCTAGACTAGAATGTGGAGAAGAGTCTACTGTGGACAGGGGCTTTCTGGGGCCACTGAGGTTGCTAGATGGGTAGCCTCCCATCACTGAGCTTGAACAAGGTAGATGGACACATGATTGCCTCCTGAGCGTTGGGTAGACCTCATGGCCACCTGCCTCCCACTGTCCCAGCTTCAAGGAGTAGCACAGAGTCAGGCAGCTAGTGTAACTGATGACTAATGGTAGCCTATCTCACTTCCAGTTAGGCATTGGTGGTGCCCCTCCTCCATGCCCTAGTGGCACCTGTCTCAAGGCTGGCAGTGGTCACAGGTGCTGGACTCTATTCACTGTTTGGCATTCATGTGTTTGCTGGCATAGCCGGACATTCCTTTTGATAAACATCTCAGTCAGGCTGAGGGTCATATGGGTTTCTGGCTCAAGCTCATTTCTGCTGGCTTCAGTCTTTTTTAAAAAAAACTAAGAATCAAAACTGTTGATAGAATTACAAGATTCAAGGGTATGCTCCTGGGTTAAGGGGCCCAGAGATGCTTGCCCAAGCCAAAAAAAAAAAAAAAAAAGGAAGGAGAGGGAAAGGAGCTCCTAAGCTTGGGAGGCTGCAGTGCCTGTCCCCTAGTCATTACCCTCCCTGTCCCACCGCGCCCAATAACCCTGGCTGTGGCCATGCCCAATTCTCATACTGGAACTGTGCCCATTTCTCTAGAAGGCAGTTCACTTGAGGCATGGGTGATTCCTTGTTTTTTATTTCTTCCCCTCCCACTCTCTTTCCCACTAGTTTGGATTCTTACAACGAATTTGCTTTCCAGGAGAATCACTGTTTACGGATTAAGATCCTCGGGGATTGTTACTACTGCGTCTCTGGGCTGCCTGAAGCCAGGGCTGACCACGCCCACTGCTGCGTGGAGATGGGCATGGACATGATCGAGGCTATCTCGTAAGTGCCTGCTTCAGGGAACCAAGCCACAGTCTGCATAGTGACTGATGGGGGCGGGGATGTGGTGGGAGGCACCCAGGGCCCCCTGCTAGGCTGGTGGGCAGTTCTGTAACTCAGCCCCCACCCCTGCACCAGGGCTCCTTTCTTTCCTGGGTGGGGCAGCTTTCCCAGAGGAGGCATGAGGAAGGGAGGCTGGCTGCAGGAGAGGGAGAGCTGGCCAGAGTGGCCATGCCTGAGCTAATGCTCTGTCCTCTAATCTACCACTTCTCACAACCCCATCCCCGATGTAAAGCGCACTAGCTCCACTCTCTCCTAGGTGGGAGAGTTCGGCTCTTGTGGGCTAAAGAGATCTCCTAGGATTCGATCGCAGATAATGAACCCTTCTGTGAGCAATAGCCGAAGGAGCCTGGGTCAGACTCGGTTGTTACTGGCCACGGAAGGAGCCCATCATCACTGAAACAAATATGCACAACCTAAATGACATTACCAGCTAGGGGTTGGGTCATAGAAAGTGTCCAGTAACTTTGCACTCTAGAAATAGCCTATATGAGAACAAAGTAAAAAGATGGGCTTGGGCCCATTTTTTGGCACACTTGCTTCTACTGACCGTATCCTGCATGAATGGGCTACACAGTCATGCCCAAAGTCCAGCCAGTGCTAGGAGGGGAGGCCTGGCCTCTCTCTGCACTGATAGACGGTGTGTTAACTGGACACACAAGGTAAGAGGCACAAGCCCCTGCGGGGAGGAGTGGGTGATTCCACTGAGGGGACTGAGAAGCCACAGGAAGCAGGTAGCTCTGGAGAAAAGAGAAATAGTAGAATGAAGAGTCATTATCCGCACCTAAGATAGAAGGGACCATTCTAGTACTGATGCTTGACGATTTGATCCCAGGGCGACAGAAATGAGGGAGTCCTGAGTCTTTGCTGCAGTTGGGCAGAGTGGAGGGCAGGCGATCTGACAGGTGGGATTGGGGGCGGACCTGGTGGGGGTGAGCCCACCCACCAGACCAAGCTAGACTGCCAGTCTCAGCTTGCCGAGTATCAAGGAAGGCTAGTTTCTAAAGTGCAAACTGGATCCACTGTTCCCCAACCCCTGAACCTTTTTCTGCAGACCCTAAGCAGGCTGTGAGTCCAGATACAGTTGGAGAACCCCCCTCTTCTGCTCCCTCAGCGTGGGAGGTTATAAGGGCCTACCTAGGACTGGAATCCTATCTTGGTGCTTGTGATTGGGACTACAAATGCCTGGTGGTTCAAGGAACAACTTAGTTCCCTGCACTTTCCCAGACTTACCTCTTCCTACGTCCTCCCACAGTTGTGACCCTACCCGCCCCACCTTCATGTAACCCATTTACCTGCCTATCTTCTGTGTCTTGCTAACCTTGAGAGAGGAGCCACAGCATTAAATCCAATCAATCAACATCGAGAAAGCCATTCCAGTCTACCTTGCCTCCAGAGCATTGTATGATTAGGGTTCAGGGCGACTACATATCCCCCATTGGCTCAAGAATGCACTACAGTACGTTTACAATTTTCTGAGCAGTCTAATTGACAGTGGCAACGGTAATGGACTTAGTTGGGTAGATGGGTTGGTGTTGGGGTGGCGGAGTGCTTCATTTTACTGTGCAGCACACTGCCACCTTGTGGCCAAGACAGAAACAGCACTTCTCTGGTTAATCTGAACAGGCACCCAAACGTCTGCCAGTCCCCTTCAGGTTAGGCTGGATCAGAAAGAAATGCCTCTTTGACCCCTGCGCCTCCCAATTCCCCTTTCAACCCCAGTCCCTCTTTCCAGCCTCACCCCTGCTCTATATGCCTAGCCCCTGACCCTATCCCAGCCTTACCCCTGCTCCATCCCTAGGTTGGTCCGGGAGGTGACAGGGGTGAACGTGAACATGCGTGTGGGAATTCACAGCGGGAGAGTACACTGCGGCGTCCTTGGTCTCAGAAAGTGGCAGTTCGACGTATGGTCTAACGATGTCACACTGGCCAACCACATGGAGGCTGGTGGCAAAGCGGGGTGAGTGAGGGCTGGGTTGGTGCAGGCAGGAACCCAAAGTTCCCTTCTCACCCAGGAGAGACTTGTGAGGTAGGATTGGAGTAGGCAGGATGGAGGAGCAGGCATGCTGTGGGCAGGTGGGAGTAGAGATGTCTTTAGTGGGGGTTCTGAGGCTAGGTGTAGCTGTAACTTGCTTGTCTAACATGCATAACATATACAAGACCCTGGATTCAGTCCCCAGCATGGAAGGAAGGAAGGCAGGCAGGAAGGAAGGAAGGCAGGAAGGAAGGCAGGAAGGAAGGCAGGAAGGAAAGCAGGAAGGAAGGCAGGAAGGAAGGCAGGAGTGGAGTTAGCAAATTATTCATAAGTCATAAGGAATATTGTCTCAAACATCCAAGTATTTCATTGGATGACAAATGGTGGCTTGTGAACTATGGTAGAGAGCCCCCTATTTCAGAAGAGAGAGACTAGTTTCCTACAGGTCTCAGAAGTACCAGCTGGCATGGGATATGTGGGCAGAGAGAAAGGTTGGGCCAAGGGATCGATGGGCAGGGGTGAGGTAGGGATCAGGACTCAGGTGTGGGGAGACACGGTAGACAGTACAGATAGTCTTTTAGGGGCAGCCAGGAGAAGCAGTCAGTGACTAAGAGGGACCTGGATGTCAGGCTGGAGCTAAGAGTATAGTGGCAGGAACCATTGCTGGCTTCTGAGCAGGAGTGACTGTGAGATCAGAGGCACGTTCCTTGGGTAGGCTCACCCATGCTAGGTGAGGTGTGGGAGGGTTGGGTGGTGCCATTTGAACCAGAGCTAGAGGCCTTGAGGTGTGAATGATCTCGAACTGCCGATCTGCCGTTCTCACCTCACACTTTCTGCCCCCCCCGCCCCCCCCGTAGACGCATCCATATCACCAAGGCCACACTCAACTACCTGAATGGGGACTATGAGGTGGAGCCAGGCTGTGGTGGCGAGCGCAATGCCTACCTCAAGGAGCACAGCATCGAGACCTTCCTCATCCTGCGCTGTACCCAGAAGCGGGTTGGTGGGCAGGGCCTGTGGGGCAGGGAGTTGGGGGAGGTAATCTTTTGGATGGGAACCTTTTCTGTTCTTTCCTTGAGGAAAGTTACGAATTCTTTAGTGTTGCCTCCCAGTCTCTCAGAAAGGACCTGAAAGCGAGTGAGGTCCTACAAAGCTGATGGGGGAGAAGGGATATTTTCATTCCACATTGGTTGGGGAAAAAAAATTCCAACAGGCCTCAGATCAGTGAGCAAGGGTGCCTGAGGGGGGCATGGAATGGAGGCGAGCGTCCGAGGAATCACTATCTGCCTTTTGCTAGGTGGCTGTCTTTTCTCATCTCTCCTCTCTCCTCTCTTCCCTATTCCCGATCTCGTTCTCACCTCCTTGTTTTCTCATTCCCTTTCATGGTTGAATTTGTTGATGTCTGCTTCAGGTTGCGTCTATGGGTGACGGCTTGTTAAAAATTTATATATGTATTTATTCTCTGTGTATTGTATGTGTGTGACATGACATGCGTGTGGAAGTCAGAGGACAACTTTCAGGAGTCAGTTCTCCCCTTCCACCATGCTGCTCCTGGGGATTGAACTCATATCGTCAGGCGTGGCAGCAAGCACTTTCACTGGCTGAGTCATCTTGCTGGCCCCTATGTCTTTGTTTCATGAAACTGTCTTCCTTTTAACTTTCTGGTTTCTTTCTTCTTTCCTCTTTGTCTTAGCCCACATCTGCCAAAGTATAAAAACTGAATTATTAGTAGACCTCAGTGTTCTATTTTTAATAATGTCATGTTCCGTGTTCTTAATTTCTAAAGCAAATGGAACATTTTCTGTTTCTCCCCAAATTAGAACACCTTGCTGTCCTCCCACTGAGTGAATCCAGTGGCCAGTGCCCTCTGGTACAGAAAAGCTCCCTGTTGCTTAAGGAGTTGATCTGAAAACAACAGCTGTATGTAAGCACAGTCCAGAGAGCCCTGGACAGAGGCAGTGCGTTTCTAAGGAGAGGCGGGGCAGAAAGGACAGTACCCATCTGTCCTGTCCTGAGACAGATAGCAGGGGGGCACCTCGTCCTGCACCTGAAGAGAGGTCCTGACTGCAGTAGCCTTTGTGTAGTGAGCTGTATCAGATACTACCCCAGCAGCAGCAGCAGCAGCAGCAGAGGGAGGGAGGGGGTGTCAGGAGAGCAGCCCTTTGGGACCATCTCCTAAACATTTGCTTGTTCATTGACCAGATGTGAATGAGCTGAGACCCTGTCAGTCCCACATATCCCTCCTTCCTGTCCCTGCTGCACAGGCTTCGAGCCTCCATTGTACCTTCCAGCCTTGGGCCCTCTGGGTCTTGGTTCCCCCAGTTGACAGCTAGTACAGAAGGCATGAAGTAGAGACAGACAGTGTGATATCCCCATCCCTGGCAGTGTGAACCAAGGAAGGATAAGTGTCCCCCTAAACCCTATGTCAAACATCTACCTCCGGTGCCCATTAGGAACGATAGAAAGATAGTTGGACAGACAGGTACTTAAGTAGTGTTTGCAAGTAGGTAGCTGGCTGCGTCTCTATGTGCTTATACGACTTGCCGTCTCTGACTTTCTTAACTTGGTGACAGGTTTCTAGGAGCTAAGGTCTATTTTGCTGATAGACCCTGGGAGAAGTAGATACTGGAGTTCAGGGCCCTTCTTCCTCCATCAGCCTCTGGGCACCTTCAGCTCTGGTTCTACCCTTCCTTGAAGCTATAAGCAGACCCTAATAGGTACTGAACCCCCACATTCCAGTGAGTAGAACCTGCCAGGGATGGAGACCATGGGTGCAAGCTGGCCTGGCTACCTGGGGGACTAGAAGGGAAGCTCAACCCTCCCATGGAGTTATCCCCCATCCCCCCATTAGAGACGGAGGGCAGGCTACACGATGGCAGGCTGCAGTGCATCTCTTGGGACTTAGGGAGATTGGCCTTTGAGTGGATTAAGAAGACCCAGGAGAAAATCTTGTGCTCAGACTTTTAAGGAGCACTTCTTGCATGCGACAGGTGTCCCTACACCTCTTGCTTTCTCATGAGACCAACTCTCATAATTATCTATGCCAAGCACTGGAGACTTGGGGAGAGCAGGTTTCAGGGCTGTACAAAGGCAACTGTTTCTCATTCTGCCTGGCCAGTTTCTTGTTCCTGGAAAGAGAGAGAGGGTCTGCCCACTGGGGCTCTTCCCATGGCTTGCCCACACACTGAAACATCTCTGTTGTTCTTCAGAAAGAAGAGAAAGCCATGATTGCCAAGATGAACCGCCAGAGAACCAATTCCATCGGACACAACCCACCCCACTGGGGAGCTGAGCGCCCCTTCTACAACCACTTGGGTGGTAACCAGGTGTCCAAGGAGATGAAGAGGATGGTGAGTGTTTGGCACATGATGCTCCTGGGTTGGGAATGAAGGCTGGCCCTGGGGTCACAGCCTGAGGGAATCTAGAAGAGAAGGAATATGAATATGAAACTCCCAACCCTGGCCTGGTTCTTCTTCGTGAGTCCTGCTGTCCCATGGCTCGGGGACATAACAGTAGTGCCCTTCCCTTCCTCCTGACAGAGCTTCCTGGTGCAGGCTGGCCAGACTTGGGTACCACCACTAGGGCCTCTAGCAACGTTGGTCTCTCTCGCTGGTGAGACCCCATGGGGCTGTGTGGCACTGACCTGTCTGGCCCCTTCCAGTCCTTAATGCCTTTCCTGGGTGATTGAGAGCGCGTTCCTCATTTTCCTGCTCAGAAACCATCCCAGTGCTTTTTGGCAAGTGCCTGGTGATGGCCCCCTCTGCTTCTGTACTGAGGAACTGGGTCCCTGCTAATACCAGCCTTCTAGCAGGAATGTCAAGCTAGAGGTCACACAGCCACTCAAGGTACTGTGTCCACTTAGGGGATACATGCTCCCAGCCAACCCCAAATATAATTTAGGATGCATTGCTGGTTTGTAGAGAAATGAGAGGGGTTACTGGAAGCCAGGTGCCAATGGTAGTACTTTCACTTTCTGCCTTAGACCTCAGCTCCCTCCCCTGGGGGACACTGCTCAGGTCAAGGCCACCTGGTTCTCAGATAGAAGTTGTCTACACTGAAGGAGGGCTGGTGAGGCTCAAAGCCAAGAACAGGGTGTATGGTCACTCTCTGAGTAAGCTGGGGCAATACAGTTCAGGTATGTAGATCAGACTTAGGTGAAGCTAGAACCAAGAGGATGAGACAGACCCCCATGGGACTAAAGCAGACAAAAGCTAGTGGCCTGAAGCAAGGGGCAGGTTAGGGACCTGGTGGCTCCACTCCTTGCCAGCTAACAAATAGCAGGTGACACACATAATATAGCCAGAAAAACAAAAAAACAAAAAAACGGAGAATCCTGACATCCATTTAAAACTTCCAGGGTAGATAAATACTGGTTTTACACTGTCACTATGAGAGAGAAGACAGGAGGGGGCTGGCCTTACCCAGGGCTTTGAACGTGGTTGTCCACAGGCCTGACCCGTGCCAACATGACTTGCAGCCACTCTGTCCTCTAGGGTCCCCCACAAAGCAAAGAGCAGGTGTCCACGCTTCCCTGTTGCTGCCTTGGCTCCATAATCAATGTCCTACAGATTCTGAGCCCATTTGAACAAGGGTTTGGGGCATTAGGAAGACAGAGGATATGGAAGGGAATCTAGAGTAGGAAGAGATAGCAAGAAAAGGGACTTAGCGAGGTACAGAGGAAGAAGGGGAACTACCAGCAAGCCTGGTGGGAAACCACAGTCTCTGTCAAGTCCCAGAGGTCATTTTTCAGTGACATTTGGAATAACTTGCAACCTCAGTAATTTCCTAGGCAGCTTGGACTGTGAGCACTAGTTTGGCAGGCGTATTCATCACTGTTAGGACAAGGCGCTCTGGAAGAATTAGCAGTAGGGGCTGTGACTGGGGAAGGGATGGCTCCAGAGGAGGCTGCGCCTCCGGGGAGGCTCCTGGGTGTTAATTGCTTCACCCAGCAGGGGAGGAAGATCTTGAAGAACAAGGTGCCCCATGCTGACTGGGCACAGTGTTCCCTGAGGATACTGGCATCAAAGCCTCCTTTCCCCAGCCCCACCTGTCCCGTTGGGGGGGGGGGTCTGGGCTTGGTATGGAACTGCTTCCAGCAGCTGTCCTGACAGGCATTGGCTTGGCATTAAAATTCCCAGAAATCTTTGAGAATGATGCAAAAAGAGCACTTCTACCTAACTTCTGGCACATGGGTGAGTTCAAAAAGAAAAAAGAAAAAAAAAACAGCATTGAAAAATAAACAAACCCAAAGCAGTCCACTGAAGGTGCATGGTTAGGAGTCAATGAAGCAGTAATAGCAGATAGGTACTAATCCGCAGCCAGCAATTTAGTTCTTTGGAATCTTTATCGAGCTCTTACTCAGCTTGCCAAGTGCTGGGCTGGGCTGGGCTGGGCTTCTGTGCTTGAATGCATCCCTTGTCAAGGCTTTAAGGTTGTGTGCTAATAAATGGCTTACAGGGAAAAGTGTGTGGCCTGAGCTTATATGATTAATCCAAGGAAGCTCTCTGCCTACCATGCTGGGATGGGGTCAGCAGGCTGAGGGAGGTGAAGTGACCCTGTCTTGACACTAGCGAGCATGGACAGTGGGGAATACCCAGTTCACTAGACTGAGGTTTAGGTGACAGAAATGGTGGGTGGGTGGGTGGATGTATGGATGGGTGGGTGGGTTGCAGTGGTACAGGTGGAAGCCATATGTGATCACGGTTCACCCCTGAGCCACAGTCCAGCCTGGCCTGTCCCTAATGGCTGTGCTGAGCTGGTTTAAGGATAATGGTGTCTTCTATCCGGTTGTCACCGTACTACCTTCAGTGGATCCTGAACTGCCTACACCAACAAGGCATCCAGCTCTCTGCTCAGCACAGGGAAGAAAGTGTATCCTCCACAGAGGCTAGGAATAAGGCACTCGGGGTATTTTTGACCTGTAGAGATGGGCTTGTATATGTGCAGCACCATTGTTCCCAGTTGTACAGTTAGCTAGTTGCTGGCTCATAGAATGGAACTCTGGTCTTGGAGGCTCATGGCGGCACTTTGTAGACAGCTTACCTGTCTGGCTCTGCTTCTAGCTATGCTGAACCCGTTGAGGGTCATGAGAGAACACACATGGGCCTGTCCCCAAACAAAACACTCAGCTGAGTGGCACCTACTTTTACAGCTAGGAGGTTGACATGAAATAAGCTCTATAGTCTAAAGAGAGGGCTGTGTGATTCTCAGAGGGTGAGGACAAGGGTCTGGCTGGTCTGGGCAGACAAGTGATTGTTTGGCAGGCCATCCCAGACTAGGTATAGGCACCCAGGTGCGGATCAGAGTGACAGCATGGGACCCCCTAGAGCCTGCTGTGGTCCTAGGAGCCTTCTATGTCACAGGGATGCCAGGTCTCCTCAGCACCAGCCCTGGCTCATGAGGAAGTCCCCTTTGGGGGCTGCCATGCCAAGTTCTCAGCAGGAATGAAGGGGGGCAGGGATGTTTGGACTTCTGGTTCACTCAGTACTGGCCGAACTCCCCATTTGCTAACTGGTGCTCCACACAAAGTCCTCCTCTGTTCCTGATCTGGCAGTCTGTGCTTTACCTGGAGGTCTAGAGCTTCTGGTCACTTTCACCGCCTCCCACCACAGGGAAACCCCTCCCCCAATCCCATCACAGCAGGCAGACCCCGATATCTCTTCTTTTTGGTAATGTTCAGTTACCTCTAAGGAGGGCTCTGTGGTTGGCATTTGTCTGTGTGGGTCTCACCCTCCCCCTGGGCTTGCAGACTTGAGCCACAGAAAAATACTCAGACCCTGCAGGTGGCATATGGGCTCCTTGCCTCCTAGATCAAATCAACTCTAGCCTTGCAAGAACACATTGGTTCCTAGATCCACATTACAGAACTGAGCTGTTTGGGGTGGGAGGCTTCTGGTTTCCTGTGGTTTTGTGTGATCAGTGTGTGTGTGGGGGGGTGCTGAGTGTGCACATGTGTAAAATTCTGAGCAGCTCAGCAATTTCTGTTCAAGCCATGGCTCAAGGGGAAGGAGGAGCAGTCCAAGAAATACAAGGAGTCTCGGTGGAGGACGTGGGCATTGTGCCAGTGGGTAGAATGAAACCACGATGCACCCTGGCATCTAGCACCAAGTCTTTGCCTTAGGGAGGACCCACTATGCTCACCAAGTGAAGGGAGGAGGCAACTGTCATCCCCTGTTCATCACAGTGGTCAATGGCAGACAGCCATGAGATGCAGCCACCTCCATGGGCTCAGTGACCACCCCAGGCCTCATGTCCTCCTTGCTCACTGTTCTTACCTTCCTTTTTCCTTCTCTTTCAGGGCTTTGAAGACCCCAAGGACAAGTGAGTAATATGCCTATGTTCTTCCTCCTTTTCTGTCATGTGACAGATGTTGAGCAGTGGCCCAGGAGGCTGCGCTCGCTCTCCATGGCTCCATCAGGGAAATGCAGACTTTGCACACTGGTGGCAGGGTCTGAATGTCCCCAGTGTCTGGAGGGAACCGTCTCTTCCTGCTCTTGTGCTTCCCATTGCTCAAGACTGCCAGACTGTACTCAAAGACCAGGTTCCACCTTGAGAAATTAATGTTTAAATTCAGCACTGTAAGCATGCTTCCCAAGAGGGTCCTACTCCTGGTTCAAGTGGCAGTTGGACCATAGTCCCTGTCTAGGAGTCCTGCCCACCAGTCTTAGCCTTAGTGTGGGGATGAGGAGACAGCTAGACAGTAAAGAAAGAGGTTTATCTGTTGGAATAACTATGAAATCTTCAGCCAGGCCATGGTAGCACACACTTTTAATCCCAGGACTTGGGAGGCAGATGCAGGTGGGTCTCTGTGAGTTCAAGGCCAGCCTGGTCTACAGATAGTTTCAGGACAGCCATGGTTACACAGAGGAAACCCTGTCTCAAAACAAACAAAAAACAATGAAATTTTCAGTGGTAATCTACAATGCCAGCAAGATCCTCTGAGACTTGGATACCTTCTGTCATGTACAGTTGAGGTCATAGCCTGGTCTCAGTCCCCACTGTCCCTTCCTTGGTAGCTCTCAAGGGGTCTGTCAAGTGTCTCTGGCCAGTCCAGATGGCCATGCAGAGCCACTCATATGACAATGTCCCTAGGTGTCAGCCTGCCTATATCTGCCCTTTGCTTTCCAGGAATGCCCAGGAAAGTGCCAACCCTGAGGATGAAGTGGACGAGTTTCTGGGCCGGGCCATTGATGCCAGGAGCATTGACAGACTACGGTCTGAACACGTCCGCAAGTTCCTCTTGACCTTCAGGGAGCCCGACTTAGAGAAGAAGGTATGGCACCAGGAGAGATGGCACCGGAAGAACCAGGACAGGGCACTGGGCACAGCCCACAGAACGGCTTCCTCTCACCTCCAGAGCCAGTGTCCTAATCTGTGATGCCACACTAGAACCCCAGACAGAATTCTGGGGACATTTCCTTGGTTGAAAGAAATACATCTTATCATTGCTGTGCCTCAGTTTCCTTATCTGGAAATATTTACCTCAGGGTGAGCACCAACTGAGTTCTGTCTGTGTCAGACACACACAGTGGCGTCTACCACACAAAGGGTGTGTTGTAAATGTGCTCATTACATTGCTGTGACCATCGAGCCATCAGGCCCTCTAGGTGATCACTGGAAGGGCGTGGAAGCTCTTTTCCCTTCTTAGATTGTGATCGAAGAACCCAATGAGCCACACAGTGAAGTAGTGACAGGCTACTAGGCACTTCCCTTTGCCCTATGTCCCACTGTGTACCAGCATCTAGTTGAAATGGTCTTGTAGGAGCCGCTGCCAGCTTTAAGTGAAGGCAGGCCTGGTTAGCAAAGCACAACTAAGGGAAAGGAAAGTAGACGTGACCTTTGTGTCCCTTTCAGGGTGACCATGCCAGCATGTGTGTGGCTGGTTGGTGTCAGGGCAGGAGGTGAGACTGGGAGTTGAGACCTTGAAAAAGGCATGGGAGCTCCCTGAGTAAGAGTGAGCAGTTGCTGGAAGTAGAAACCACAGCAGTCTGGGGCCCATGTGGGTGATGATTGTGGCTGTAATCATTATGAATTATGTTGACCATGGGTCAGCCTGCATATAGTGTCTGGTTGGCAGTCCAAGTTTCAGTCACTCTCACACAGGCTCTACCACGCGGGCATTCACACTGACTGTCCTCCATCTAAACCCAGATCGGGTCTCCATGTGTTCTCTGGCCCGGGCTAGGGTAGGTACCTTGGGTGACTAGAATTGTCTGCAGATAGTAGGTGGGTCCACTAGAGCTCACCGTCATATCCCCCTCTCAGTACTCCAAGCAGGTGGATGACCGATTTGGTGCCTATGTGGCCTGTGCCTCGCTTGTTTTCCTCTTCATCTGCTTTGTCCAGATCACCATCGTGCCCCAGTAAGTACCCCCCCCCCACTTACTTTCTTTCTGGCTACAGGGTCCCCAGGGTGGGAAGGGAACAGAGGAGGAAGTCTGTGCTGGTGTTCAGACTGGGAGTCAGAATTCCTAATTTCCTCTGTGGATCTAGGAAGTCAGGGGTCCTGCCTATGGGCTGGGGAGTGAATGTTCCACCCCCGGGTAGAGACTTCACTGGGCACTTCTCAGCTGCACAAGACACCGCTTTCTGCCATGTCATCCTCTCATACCTGGTTGAGTTACCCAAAACATCTGCCACTCTGGCTTCCTTCACTTAGATCTTACACACACACACACACACACACACACACACACACACACACACACACATGCGTGGTGTGTGTATCTTACACCTTTAAAAGGCTTTTTGTTTTTAACCACTTGAGTATTTCAAAGGAGGGGTGTCAGGAAGGCTTTTAGCCAGGAGACACACCCGAGCCTCTGACAAAGGTTGCCCGGCTCACTAAGGGCCACCTGGAAGCAGACAGAGGGCTTTTGAAGTGAGGCTTAGATGACAGTCACTCATAGGAGTCACACCTAGAAGAGCTGTTATCCTATTCACATGCATATATGTGCCTTCACGATGGGTGTGTTGACATGTATACATTTTAATTCTTCACTATGAAATCACTCAAGCACATGAAAGTCACACAATCAACTCCCACCCCTTACGTAGAACAATTGTTAATATTTTCCAGTATCTGTTTCAGTTACTTTTTTTTTTTTTTTTTTTTTTTTTTTTTTTTTTTTTTTTCTTTTTTTTTTTTTTTTTTTTTTTTTGAGACAGGATTTCTCTGTGTAGCCCTGGCTGTCCTGGAACTTGCCCCATAGACAACACTGGCCTCAAACTCAGAGATCCACGTGCCTCTGCCTCAGGAATTCTGGGATTAAAGGCGTGCTCCACCACTGCCTGGCCTTTTTTTCTGATTTTTAAGAATAAACTTACAACCATTTCTCCCTGATAAGCAATAGATATCTGTTTTAAGAACATTTTCCCCCTTACGCATAGTATCTGACATATCAAATAGAACCAATGGCAGTTCCTTCTATCTCCTCAATCCATTTCAAATTCCCAAAATGATTTCCCAGATGTCTTCCCAGTTTATAGCCAGGGTCTGCTTGGGATCCAGGGTTCCATGTGGCTCAGCCTTCTAAGCCATGTGTGATCTGAGGTGTCCCCACCCAAACTTTTTCTTGTTGAGATAATCGTAGGACCACTGAGAGGCTGTAGGAGTTGCATGGTGAGCCTGCCTATACCTTTTTCATGCATCCCTCCTGGTGTTGACAGCCTCCTTCATTGAGATGCAGTGGGCACAGCCAGAAACTCACATGGTAACCAGCCAATTCTCATTTTCTCAGTTTCCCCTTTGTGCCGTTTTTTCTGTTCCAGAAGCCACACTGCCTGGGATCCCACACTGCAGTTAGCTGTGTCTATCTCTTTCCTCTTCACAAATCGGTGATAGTTCTGTAGTCTTGCTTGTCTTTTGTGACCATGGCTATCTTAATGAGACCCCAGCCAGGTGATTTGTAGAATGTTTTAATCTGGGTGTGTGTGAGGGCCTCCTGACTGGATTGACATTGCTTTGAATAACATTCTCCCAGCGTGGGCAATGTGTCCTCCCCAGTGTATCTTAACTAGAGGAGGCACGTCTTACCCATTTGCCCTCTTGTAAACTTTTTAAAATTACATGTACATATTTGTGTGAGTGCACACACACACACACACACACACACACACACACACACACACACACACACACACACATTCATGAGCCACTGCATGGAGGGCAGAGGACAACTTTCAGGTGTTGGCTCTTTTCCTTTTACTATTCGTGTCCCAGAGATAGAACTGGGGTGGTCAGGCTTGGTGGCAGCACTTTTATCCACGGAGCCATCTTGCTTGTCCTACTTCTGCCTTTTTAACACCTTTTATTTTTATGGCATTTGTTGTGTAAAGATATTCCTTTGTGTGTGTCTGTTGACTGTCAGAGCACCTCAGGTGAAAGCCAGACATTGGCATCTGGCTACATCCCAGCTGAACTGCTTAGCCCCTGCATGGAGGCTGCTCAGTACTGTGGACTGGGGGTCCTAATGGTCATTCAGCCCCATTTTTATGTTTTGACATGATACAGGTACTAACTGTGTGTATCAACGAGTGTCCTAGGCCTGAGTCCTATTGTAGCTGACAATCCTTTACCTCAGTTACACAGCCCTGCTGCCCCTTGGCCACTTTACTCTCAGGCCCGAAAGGCTTAGGGGTGGGGCCATGCCAGCTTCTGGTTCTGTTTACAGTGGCTAGCTTCATTCTTGCCTGTGGCCACAGCTGCACCAATTGGCCAAGGTATTGACTCAGGTCATTTCAACCATGCCCTCTGGGGAAGCCTTAACAGCCACTTTCAGGGTCTCTCTTTCCCTCTGAAGTATTCTCTCCTTAATTCCCTTGAAGTCAGCTGAGTACTAATTTTGTGGGAGCCAGGAGAAGAGGCACAGTCTGAGCCCTCCGGGGGAGGGGGCAGTATTCCCCTCCAATAGCCGACAGCCTGCCAACAATGCCTGGTATCTCCAGGCCACCCCCACCTCCTGCAGCCTTGTGCATGTTGCTGCTCTTGGACAAGTTCTTGCCCCAGGAGGGCAGTGGTGGGTTCTGGAAGGAAGATTGCTTGCAGCTCATTTGTCTGAGGCTTCCCACCCTGGTGGCCTGCTCTCTCCTCCTCAAGGAAATTGGGGCACTTTCCTATTGGACTACCTAAGAATCAGACGGAGCAGGGCCTGTTGTGGGGCCCTGCAATGGAAAGGGAGAGAGGCTGGATATACACACTACACTGTCCCAAAGGGGTACTGTCTGGGCAGCTGATGTGACGGCCATTTACCAGGTCTGTTTTTGGCCCTGTTATCAACCCGTGGGTGCTAAGGAACGTGGATAAGCAGGTGACTTTTAAAACCGCTCTCCCATGCTGCCTGAAGCACTCTGTGAGTAACTAAGAGACAAACTGTTAATCGGGTGTTTTTTAGTTCCCCATTGGCTCCATATGAGCTGCAGGTCCCCCATGAGGGTGGCCAGGGGGTAGGAAGAGCAGGAATGGACTGTATTACAGCAGCTCTACGTGGGCCCCTGCTGAGAGCGCTCTTCCTAGGGAACAGTGGAAAGGATGGAGCAGTAGGCTCCTAGAGAAAGGGAACTGTTTTCAGAGCCTCTACCCCGAGAGCTGTGCCTGGGCCCTGGATCCTGGGTCCTGGGCAGGCCCCTGGGATGCAGTGGGACTTCGGTTTCCTACCCGGATGTGGTTCCTTCTCAGCCTTTTAATTCCCCAGCTCCCTGTTCATGCTGAGTTTCTACCTGTCGTGTTTCCTGCTGCTGGCCTTGGTGGTGTTTGTGTCCGTGATCTACGCCTGTGTGAAGGTGAGTCTTCCTCAACATGCTATCCAGTGGGCTTCCTACAAGTGGCAGAGGCCACTGCAAGGACCGACCTGAGCATCACACTTGGCCCAGATGATGGGCAAGGAAGTATGTGATGGCACGGATGGCAAGTCTGCCTGGAGACTAGACTGTTCCTATTGGCTGCCTCATTTCACCCTTGTTAATCTTTGCAACAAGATTGTCATTGCTGCTTCAGTGTCAGATGGGACAAGAGGGCTGCTAGCCAGAGCCTGAAACATAGTATTGGGCAGTGAGCATTCACTGCAGAATGTGTGGAGAAGACCTCTAGACAGTATTCAGTAGTCCCAGGAGGGACATTCTCTGAGATTAGGGACGAGCCTAGCATGCAGGTGAGAGGGATATGGCCCCAGAGAGGCACGGAGTTTTAGATGAGCCAGATGTGGACATAAGGAGCCTGGATTCCTGCTGTATACTTTATCTTACATTTCTCTTGGGCATACCAGATCTCCTGTCCAAGTTGTATCTCTAGACAGTACTTGACCCTAGGCCATGTGTGTGTGATAGAAATCGTCCAGGCTTCTGTTTCCCTTGCCTAGACATCCTTTGTCCCCTTCCCTCATTTCCATCAGCAGGGAGTCGAGGACTCCCCACCCTCCAAAAAGAGCCCTTCATTGATCTATTTGCTTAGTTGCCTTGCAGTCAAAAGTCTTGGTGGAGTGGCTGTCAGTTCTGGTTAGGACCTGAGGAATCACGTGTGGGTTAGAGTTGGGTCTTGTGAGAAGATGTGGTGGCTCACCATACTGAAAGGTGAGCACCGTCTCTCCTTCCTCCTGCTCTGTGTTCGGTCACCTCCTGCTTTGGCCGTGTAGTTGTCAAGACCTCTCAGCCTGCTTGGTCCTAACAGATAGTTCACTTTGTCCATCCGTGGACATAACAATAAGACAGCAAATTGTCACAAAAACCAAAGGTGAAAGCAACTCAATGTCCATCATCAGATGACAAGAAATAAAACATGGCATGTAACTGTGATAGAGTAGTGTTTGAGTGCCCAGTTCATCTTCCCACTGTCTGCCTGGTCCATACACACAGCCTTCTTGGGAAGGTGGGTTTAGGGCTGCGCTGTTCATCTCGTCCCCAGGTCTGGTCTCACTTCTTAGTGTGTCAGCTCCTTTCAGAGCCCCATGGCCCCCAGTATGCGTCATCAGGTCAGTTTTCTGCTGTCACCGTTAAAGAGAGGGCAAATCAATGTGCAGCCTTCCTGTCACCCTTGGGATTTCTGCTACTCTTCCTGGAAGAGACCATGCAAGGCCCCTCTCCATATCGCACACTATCTCAGACTCAGAAAATCTCAGGGTGGAGGACTCCAAGCACTGGGAACCCTGCCATCTTGTTCAGGTCAAAATCCCTTCTCTGAAAGTAGGCAAAGGCCTTCCTCCATCCATCCATCCACAGGCCCTCGGCATCCCTGAACATTTCAACAGAGTGTGCCAGGCCATAAGGTCCATCTATCTGTTACCTGGCACTGAGGGACATTAGAAGTTGACGCCCCCTGAACAAAGAAAAGAAAAAAAAACAATAAAGTATATCTTACCAATTAAAAGATTTTGTGGAGAAAATGCATTCAAGAGAGCAAAATGAGTACTAACAAAGATGGGGAGCAGACATTTGCCTACTTTCCTTAGCCGAAAGAATTAAGGTGCCCTGACAGGCAGGCAGGCATCCTTCAGAGAAGTAGCATGGCTTGCTCAGGGTCATAGAGGGCAGACAAGCCCAGAGCACAGGCTTCTTGCCTTCTTCCTCATGCCCCTCTACCCCCGCCACCCTCTGTTCTTAAGGGGTTTCCAAGGTCACTTGCACTCTTGGCAGCAGACAGGCCTTACCAGGATGAGCTGAGGCAGTAGAGTTGGAGGATCCCAGGTCCCCTGCTTTGCTTTGTCAACATCTTTGTCAGCCTGGATTGTGCAGCAGATGAGGAAGGTGTGGTATATGCCAGTCAAATGTGTCAGATTTGGTGACAGAATGGGCTAAGTTGGCTGTCATTGGATTACTAAAAGCTCCTGGAGCAGTCATATGGTTTGTCTTACTAGGAAAGATATAGGAAGAACTGTAAGCCAGATGGCAGCTCCATGGAACTTTCATGCTGTAGAAAATTCTTGCCCTCTTCAAGCCTCCAAATGCTTGCCCAATACCCTCTTCAATTCCCCCTATCTCCAGGCCCCTCTTCTCCTCTTTGGGGCCTTTCTGAATCCCCATTTCTTCCAAGAAGCCTCCCATGGGGGCCTCCTCCTCTCAACCCCAACTCCTCAACCACCCACTGATCCTCCCTGGTTGGACCCCAAGGCCCAGGCTCCCACCACACATGACAGACTTTCCTTCCTGGTCAGGATAGCATCATTTCCTTCATCCTTCCTCTATCACCTGTGGGCTGGGCTCCATTGACAGCCCCCACCCCCCACCAGTGCTGAGGCTCTGCTGGTGGAGGTGAGATGCAGCAGGCAGTGGTGTGAGGCGGGGGGCTGTGTGACTCAGGAAAGCCTGGGGAGCTATTCCAGGGCCTGGGTGTGTCCTGGAGCTCCATGGCTATCTGAAGGGTCTTGACTGAATTCTGCTTTGTGTCTCCCTCCCTTCCTGCCCCAGCTCTTCCCCACTCCCCTGCAGACACTCTCCAGGAAGATTGTACGATCCAAGACAAACAGCACCCTGGTTGGGGTGTTCACCATCACCCTGGTGTTCCTCTCAGCTTTTGTCAACATGGTGGGTACCTCCATAGCCTCCAGGTGCCTCTCTAGCTCTGTGGGTTTAAACCAGTGGGGCCCCAGCATAACTGGGGAGCATTTCCCTGGAGTTAAGGTCCCACCTTGGTCTGGGGTCTAATTTGACTCTTTAGCATCTCACACAGGCTTTCAGTCCCTTGTTTTCAATCTAGAAGGAACACGGGATGTTGCCAACACAGATTACAAAGCACCCGCCTTGGGAAGGTGCATGGGTGTGCCATGTCTGTAGCCAGAGCAAGGCTTTCGTCAGGTGTCTTTTGTTCCTGGTGTGTATAGCACTGCTCCTGAGACAGGGAGGTCTGGTACTACCCACCGTCCTGTGGGATGGGCCTCCCTAGCCTGACTTTCAGGGGCTGACCCGCCTTGATATACCCTCTCCCCCACCCTAGTTCATGTGCAACTCTAAGAACCTAGTGGGCTGCCTGGCGGAGGAGCACAACATCACGGTGAACCAAGTCAACGCATGTCATGTGATGGAGTCGGCCTTCAACTACAGCCTGGGTGACGAGCAGGGCTTCTGTGGTAGCCTCCAGCCCAACTGCAACTTCCCAGAGGTTCGAGAGATGGGGGACAGGGGCTGGGGACGGCAGCAGAGGTAGACGTTCTGTCCTTCCCCACTTTGCCCCACAGCCCTGGCAAGGTTGTAGCCACAAAGGCACCTTCTCCCAGTCCCTTCCAGACCCCAGCAGCCCCCTTATTACAAAGACAGTGTTCACAGAATAGCTGAGGTGTAGGCATTGCTTACCCTGTACTGGGTACTGGCTGGGTGGTAAGGGCCTTTCCTCTCCAGGATGGGTAGCTGGGACCCTGATAATTGATCATCTGCACGCTCTTCTGCTTTTTCCTCTCTAATACTGGCCGTGACTTTAGGCTGCTCTATAGCCCATCTAATCATCAGGGACCTCCTTTACAGTAGTACCTCAGTTGTCTCTTGAAAGCCCGGGACTGCCCAATGCTTGTCACTATTACTTGGCTGTAGCTCAGATGCAGAGACATTGTGGAAACAGTAAAAGTGGAGAAAACTCAGAAATGTAAAGAACCAAAGATAGATGCTGCACTATCACTAGGAGATGAAAGATAGATGAGGGCTCCTGAGATCGGCTGGCTCTGCCCCTCAGCCAGCAAAGGACATAGGCTCCATGGTCATAGTGCAAGGCCCTGGTGCTCTTGGGAAGCCTCAATATTTGGGCTGCAGAAGCTCTCAGACTTTGGGAGGTTGTCTCACACATGGCCACACAGGAGTCTGGGCAGAATATGATGGCAAAACAGTGCTGTATCTGCAGTCACAGGAGGTGGAGTGAGGATGGCACTTACTGTCACATCCTTAGGTGGGCCAGTTCTGGTGTCCCCTCAGCTGGGTGAGTTCTGAAAGCACTTGCAGACTTTAGAACTGTCTATGTCAGAGCCACAGCTCAGGGCGGGGCCCTTGATCCCTGCAGTTGCTGCTGGTGCCAGGCATAGCACCATCAGTGTCCATGGATGGACATACAAGATCAGGAGCTTTGCTGGTGGGGAAACTGGGGCTCAGAGAGGATGAGTCAGGTCAGCCTGAGCTTGGAGCTATGCCAGTGACCTGCTGACTGGTTGACAGTTGACCTGTACCACCTTCTGGGTCCACTTCACTCTGGAGCCCATCTCCAGTTTCCTAGACAAGCTCTTGACATTTCCTCACCTGCCGGCTGGTTTCCATCAGCAGGAACATTCACAAACAATGCTCCCACTCCTAGCCCTGCCCCCAGGTCAGGTGGGGGGGCAGTTAAGGACTGGGGCAGGGCTGGGATCTGATGTGCCCTCTCTCTGCAGTACTTCACCTACAGTGTGCTGCTCAGCCTGCTGGCCTGCTCCGTGTTCCTACAGATCAGCTGCATCGGGAAGCTGGTGCTCATGCTGGCCATCGAGCTCATCTATGTGCTCATCGTTGAGGTGCCCGGTGTCACACTCTTTGACAACGCTGATCTCCTGGTCACCGCCAATGCCATGTATGCTCTATCTTCTTTGCTCCTTGACTGGATCTAGGGAGAGTCCAGGGGGGCACAGATGGCGGGAGCCTGGGTCCTGACAGCACAGGGAACCTGCAAGGAAAGTGCCTTCCTTCTCTTCCAGGCCTGGTTACTGGAGCAAAGCATGCAGGGTCATAGGGTCTTGTGTTGTCCCTTCCTCCCTTCCCATGTTGGGGACACCAGAGGTGACCAGGCTCCACTCCCTTTCTATCTCTAGTTGGCTAGTCAGTGCTCACCTCGGGCATGGGGGCAGGGCCAGCTTCTACTGGGGCTGAGGAAGGCAAGGGATTCTTCATTCATCTACTAAGCTATTCCTTCATTATTGAGGGCTGTGATGAGCAGATCCCAAGCCAGGCAGGGAGGGGCAGGATGGAACAGGTAATCCAACAGAAGTGTCCTTGTCTTGCGACAAGCACAATACATGAGAAAATTGAGTCAAACAAGAACTCCTGGTGGCTGTGTGGGCAAGATGACAGGAAGACACTGCCATCAGGAATGGGTACTTGAAGCTAGCTGTGAACACCTAATCCTTCTGCCACCACCTGATTAGGAGCCAACACCCAGAATATTGGCTTCTTTTTATTTTCCTCCCCTCCCTGTTGGTGGTAGAAGTAGACAGTGGGGGCCTTTACTGTCGAATGTCCCTAGTTTGACTCCAGGCAGTGCAAGCCATGTATGTAATTTAAATTTTTTTCCCAGGAGCTGTAATTTAAAAGGCAAAAAAGTATGGTAGCTTTTTATTATTGTGCTGGGAATTGAACCTTGTTATGTAATAGACAAGTGTTCTACCACTGAGCAATGTCTCAAACCAAAGGTAAAACTAATCTTAATAGCAATTTTATGTAGTCACTATGTCCAAAATATGATGTTTTAAAGCTATAATCAATTGTTAATTATTAGAAAACTATTTTACCTTTCCCCCAATATATTTAGAGTATTTTTAATATGCACAGCCTCCTTTAACTTGCTCTCCCCTTGTTTCAAGGCCTAGTGGCTCCATGTGGCCAGCAGTTGCTATCTGGGATGGTGCAGGTGCAGGGTTCCCTCCACTCCCTCCAGATGGCAGCATGGGGCTGAGACAGACAGGTGGACAGGTGGATATGGGAGGGGACAGATAGGGTCTCAGGTAAGAACTGCGCAGCCTTGGTGAGCAGATGCTAGCTAAGGTGTGCTTCCTTGTAAGCCTTACTGCTCAGAGTGCCCTTGGATGAGGAGGGCCAAGCACAGTTGTTACTAGGGCGCCAGAACAGAGCTTTAGGGACACAGCTAGGGGTCAGGAGGGCCTGGAGGCTGAGCAGTCTCCTCAACTTTTCTTCACAGAGACTTCAGCAACAACGGGACTTCCCAGTGGTGAGTGACACCCTTCTGTGATAGGGCCCCATCTTCCCCTGGCAAAGAAAATTCATGGGTAGTCACCCTTCTCGGGTAGGAGGGGCCTTGAGACAGGGCACAGTGAAGGAGGTAGCTGGAGGAGGCAAGGAGGCCCTCGGTCCATGGGCAGCAGGGCATGTACTCAGGCCGTTCATTCCTAGACTGTTTGGATTTCCACATTGGGAGGTGCCCTAAAGGCTCTGTGGCAGTTTCATCTGGCCTAAGATGATCCCCCAAGGATTGCTTTAAAGCTTTTAGACTCCACTCAGAAACCCTGAGCTCAATTCTCTAGTCATAGAGCTGAGGTGGAGCCTGCTTCCCTCCCAGTACAGACCAAGTGCGGGCTCTCAGGCAGGTTCTGCATCTAGGAGGATTGGGCAGGAGTCAGTCCCCCCATTCTGGGTTTGGGCTTTGTGCTTTACATGGAGCAGGCTTGGAATGAGAGCCTTCTATGAGCATGCATCAGATGAACAGGGACATGGCTATACAGTGATAGCCTCCACTTGGGGAGGCCTACTCTATGCCAGGTGCCTTGCGGAGCACACTGTACAGCAGCTTTCTCCTTACCAAAGTCTGGGAATGGGGGCATCACCCCATTTTACAGATGAGGATAAGATTACAGTGCCTGGAGACAGGGTCATTAGGCTGGCCCGGTTCCCTTGACCCTGCCCTACCACTGCTGCTCTGTGGGAGAGCTGAGTTTGTTACTTGAGGTGATCAGAGGGGCTCACCCAATGACAAGAATATAAGGCGCCAGAGCAGGAGAAACCACTGCCCCCGTTGCTGGAAGGCTTCCTGAGGGAGGTGCCTCAGGCAACCTGCACAGGAGGGGGGAGGGTAGGGGAGCTGTAGTGGGAGGAAGAAGACTGGAAGACCTCCAGAGCCCCCTGAATTACCGGGGTGAGCTCAAACCTGCTTTACCTCTCGTTGACAGCCCTGAGCATGCGACCAAGGTGGCGCTGAAGGTGGTGACACCGATCGTCATCTCTGTCTTCGTGCTGGCTCTGTATCTGCATGCCCAGCAGGTGGAGTCCACTGCTCGCCTTGACTTCCTGTGGAAACTGCAGGTGGGTGGCCCCGGGCCAGGGCTGCATGGGGAAGCAGCTGGCCTCACTGTACTCCCTGGAACTTGGTATCCTGTTTGGGCTTCATTCTGTCTGACCGCGGTCCTGTGCTGGCTGGTGTGCTCCCTGCTCTCTGGGGGCCAGGAGACAGAACCCTGAAGTGTTGCAGATACACCCCAGCTGGACAGTGTCCAGACTCTACACTGGGGTCCAAAGCACTGTCTCACGCTTCCTGTGTGTCACCAGCCTGAAGTGCAGGCCGGTGTGGCAGGCTGAGCTTGGATGGGTCGCAAAGGGGCCTAGGAGGGAGAGGAAGTGACTAGAGGGGTGGGGCCTAGGAGGGAGAGGAAGTGACTAGAGGGGTGGGGCCTAGGAGGGAGAGGAAGTGGCTAGAGGGGTGGGGCCTAAGAAGAGCCTGGCCAGGTGTGGATAGAGGAGCATGAAGACTCCAGAGGGGAAGGGACCCAGGAGTGTCAGAAGCTGTGGCGGGAAGCCCGTCTTGGTAGCACAGGCCAGGGTGGTGGGTGATCAGGGACTAGAGTTCTGACTCTTGCTGGCTTCCTTGTACCTTCCCCACCCCAGGACAGTAGCCAGTGCTCGGCTCTCCAGGTTGTGTGCTTCCTGCCCCGGGGTTGTGTTCACCTGGAGGAAGGGATACCTAGAGGTCAGGTGAGGGCTCAGCTTGCTAGTGACAGACCTTATACCTTGTTATCTGATGGGCCATCTTAGGGCCAGGAGGAGGCACCTAAGAAAGCTTACCAGAGAAAGATGGCTTCCAAGCCAGCGGCCTAGATCTTTGATTCCAGCCCCTCCCACTTGCCTGTAATCCCAGTACTCCGCAGGCAGAGACAGGAAGATTGCTGCAGGTGTTAGGCCAGCTTGGTCCATAAGCAAGTCCCACATGGGCCAGCGCTACATAACAGGATCTGTTCTCAAACTGCCCTCTCACCTGCAACAGAGAGATGCCAGCTATGATGCTCTGTGTGTGTCCTTCCTTCTTTTCAGGTGGCGTTTGTACTATAAGGAGTCATCCCTGGCCATTAATCTGCTTCTTCATCTACTCATCGACATTGTCACCAGTTCACAGTTCCTTAAGCCCATGGGTTCTGATCTGCCCCTTGCTATTTATTTTCATGCTCCCATCACTGTAGCTTTGGCTAGTGCTCATTTCTTCAAGCCGGTGACTGCCACTGGACACATCTCCACCATTATTTGAGCATTCCCTTCCTTCCTGGCACAGCAAAATATATCAGCTTTGTGGGTATTTTCCTGGATTCAGGCCAGGACTCAGTGACCCCCTCCAAGGATTTGACTCTTCCTAGTGAAGAATCATGTTTAGATGAGCGCTCAGTGGCTCACCCAGTCCTCTAAGGACACGGCTAGCACATGTGTATCTGGGTGTGGAGACAGAGAACCTCTGCATGCATAGATACTCATGAGTGTACAGCACTTCAGTTGCTTATAGTTTTCAGATCATGGTCTCCTTCCAGAACCCCTCTCTGATCTTGTGCCTCTGGCTTCTTCCGGGCCTCCCCACCCTGCTTGCCAGTGCTACCCTGGCAGCAAGAAACTCCACCCCCCATCTTTCCTAGTGACTGATGAACTTGGTAGTAATAGTCCCCCCCCTCCCCTCAAGTTCCCTTTTCTGTCCTTCCCTTCAGTTCTTCTGCTCCCTTGTATTCTGCCTCTCTACCTCCACAGAGTGGCCACTTGGCTATGCAATGGGATGGAGGGCATTGACTCCAGTGTCCCCTGCTTGTGTGAGTAGAGTGGCTTGTCCCTGTCACCAGCCTATGTCTGCTTCTTTCCTCTGAAGTTGACCAGCAGGCTTATGATGCCAGTGGGTCTCTCTTTCTCCTCTTCTGCTGGCCTTTGGGGAGCTGGGAGGACAGCAGCCAGCAAATGACAACAGAAACATGCAAGCAGCAGACCTTGCAAGGAAGAAGTGGCTGTCACTCTCTACCCTTTCGCCGCCCTTTGCACCTGTCTCCAGCCCTGATAGGAAAGCATGTACCAAGAACTGGCTCAGAGGCTGCTGTTCATAGGGAGAAACGTGGTCCAAGTGTCCATCTCATAGGCACATTAAGTCACCAGGCTAAAGACTAGGCAGGAAATTGGCTCACACCATTGGACTTACCCAGCAGCGCTGGGTGGTAGAAGTAGGGATGGAGGTGCACAGAGGTCCCTGGGTCTCGTCTTGGTATAGCCCGAGTTCTCCCAGCCACCATTCCAGTGGTTCTAAAAGTCACCCAGCTGTGCAGATGAGATCCTCTTACCTGAGGTTCCCAGGCCTTCTGCTTTGGGACTCTCCATGCTCTCTGGCTTCAGGTCCTGTAGCCTTGGGAAGAGGTGCTAGATCCTTTTCTTGGACAGCCACTGTCCACAGGGAAGAGCAGGGCCCTAAGATACAGCTGTATTGGAGGGTGGAAAGCCCAGAGATACTGGGTGGCTCCCTGCTATTGAGACTTTCTCAGCCTGCCAGCCCACATAGCCACTCCCAGGAAGGGGACCGTTTTGTCTGCCATCAGGGTGGAGGATCCAGCTGACTCCACTCTGTGATCCCTGGTGTGCCACTCTGGTCACTCCTTACCACACCTCTGTGTGTAACTGCCTGCCTACTTCCGCCTCATACGAGCCAGCATTACCTTCATGCATGATCTCTGCCCTGGAAGATGAGTGGTCACAAACTGTCTGTGCAGACCCAGGACCTAAACTTGGGGGAACCACAGTTAGTGAGGTGACGTCCCCTTCCCACCATGGCTGACATAATTCCCCCTGGCCTGCTGGCCTTGGCTGGCTCCAAAACAAGTCTCCTCTAATGGGAAGCAGATATGGGCAGGACTTGGGCCAGGTTCCTGAGGGACCAGTCCAGTAGAGATGTTCTGGCAAGCTGCTTTTCTGATTGCATTTCCTAATCTTCAGAAAATGCAGGGTTAGGGTGTGGTGGAGGGTTGTTTGGGGTGTGGATTTTGGATCACTGCTCTCCCCAGCTGCCAGTTCCAGTCTTGGGGAGGCCTGAGCCCTCTCTTTGTTGCCTTCCTCCATGTGTTTTGTTTGCCAGAGGCAGTGGGATTGTCAGCCACTCCTGTCTCTTCCCATGGTCGGGCATGCTGTTTGGAGAACATGTGGAAGCAGGGCTGCTGTGAGAGGAGGCCTTCCTGCACCCACTTGTTGGCACCCTGAGTATTGTGGGGCCATTCCTGTCCCCTCTCACTGGGTCATCTGTCCCCAGGCCACAGAGGAGAAAGAGGAGATGGAGGAGCTGCAGGCCTACAACAGACGACTGCTGCACAACATTCTGCCCAAGGACGTGGCTGCTCACTTCCTGGCCCGAGAGCGGCGCAATGATGAGCTCTATTACCAGTCCTGCGAGTGCGTGGCTGTCATGTTCGCCTCGATCGCCAACTTCTCTGAATTCTATGTGGAGCTAGAGGCCAACAACGAGGGCGTCGAGTGCCTGAGGCTGCTCAATGAGATCATCGCAGACTTTGATGAGGTGCTCCTGGGCCCCGACATGTCCCTGCTGTCCCCTTTCTCCATCTGGCAGAGGCTCTGATGGCAGGAGCCTGGCTACGTTCCTGCTCCTGGGGCAAATTGCAATGAGACAACTTGGGCCTCACACCTTAAGTGTCCTGCCTAAAGTCACTATGTTGATGTGTGGGAGCTGGGGTTTCTGCCCAGCTCTTTGAACTAGAGCCATCGTGACACCAAGGCAGAGATGTCCCAGTATTTGTCAAGAGCTTTGAGAGCAGGAGGGACCTGGGCAAAGGAAGAAGGCAGGCAGGAAAACAAGCCATTGTTTCATTTATTTCTTAAACCTTTGCTGAGCACCCACTGTGTGCAGGCCAACAGGGAGGGTTCCATCATGTCAGCAGTAGGGTACAATCCAGAGGGATGAATATGTAGTCCTTGAAGGTCTACTGCCCTAGGACACTCAAGTGATTAGTTAGGTGAAGGTATCTGCTAAGGCTTCCAGAAGCCTGGGAATAGAAAAGGCGACTCACTAGATAAAGTTGGGAAGATTTCCATGGGTAAGGGGCATGAGACCCTGGTAGCAGTGACCTTGTCCTCCAGGGCTCTTGGTGTGGGTATAGGTATGCAGGCCCCAGGCCCTGTCTAGTGGAGCAGTGTGGAGGCCCAGCTCTTCCACGGAGCTTCAGGTGCCTCACTCTGAATTGATGCCCTGGCTGTGTGAGGAGGGGGACTTGCAAACCCAGGCTTCTGTGTTTCCTTCTACCTACCCCTCCTTCCTGTGAACCTCAATGCCCCAGCAGGAGAGGTGACTCAGGTCTGATCCCCTTCTGTCTAGATCATCAGTGAGGACCGGTTCAGGCAGCTGGAAAAGATCAAGACCATAGGTAGCACCTACATGGCTGCCTCTGGCCTCAACGATTCTACCTATGACAAGGCAGGCAAGACCCACATCAAAGCTCTTGCAGACTTTGCCATGAAGCTGATGGACCAGATGAAGTACATCAATGAGCACTCCTTCAACAACTTCCAGATGAAGATCGGTGAGGAGCCTGGGGCATGGGGAGGGCTTTGTGGGCTCTCCCATGCTCCAGCCTATATCCAAGTCTGTCTAGTGGTAGAAGGTCAGTCTTATTCGGTAAAAATGAAAAGCAGACAAACCAAATACTCGCTACATGCATGTTACAAGCATATTTACAAATTTATAAACTACATATAGTGAACATATACTGATAGCAAAAGTGGAATTCTTGGCAGCCTTCCTACCTCAACCTCCCAAGTATTGGGATTATAGATGTGAGCTATCATCTCTGGCATGTTTTAGCCCTTTAAAGCAGCATAATCATAAGTATCTCTTGTGTGTATGGGTCTTGTCACAGTATGTTTGTGCACCAAGTATGTGCTTGGTGCCTGCACAATCTAAAAGAGGATGTCAGATCCCCTTGAACTGGAGTTACAAATGGGTGTGAACTACTATGTAGATACTGGGAATTGAACTTAGGTCCTCCGGAAGAGCAGCCAGTGCTTTTTCTCTCTACAGCCCCTAAGGCAGAGACTCTTAAAGCAAGTTGGTCGATTACTGCTGAGTTCTCAGAGTGAGCCAAGTGGATACTCAGAAAGTTCTGTAGTCCACACAGTAGGGCAGGCACTAAAGAGGGTGTGATGTGTATCTTCAATTGACTGTATATTTGTCTCCAGTACTGAAAAGTAAACCCAGGGCCTCACATTTTTTTTTTTTTAGACAAATGCTCTGAGTTATACCTTTGGACTCCATCTTCGGAAAATGTCTTGTGGGATGGCTTTAAGAGTGTGTGTGCATGTGGAGATCAAAGAACAACTTCCAAGAATCAGTTCTCTCCTGCTATGTAGGTCCTGGGGATTGGACTCAGGCTGTCCGACTTGGTAGAAAGCCCCTTTCCTGGCTAAGCCAGGAAAAGTTGAAAGAACAGTGCAGAGAAAAATCATCTTACACTCACACAGACCCCTGCTCCATCCACACTTCTAGAGCTGCAGCTCTGAGAATGCCACAGCAGTGGTTCATTTTGCAAAGGGAATATAGTGGAGGCAGTCCTCCCTTCTCTTGAGGTTTGTAGAGGTGGAAATGCTTTCTAAAGAGCAGATCTTTATTCTGGTCAAAAGTTTCACGCATTATCAACTCCCTGAGCATGTCTCAAGTCATAAATGATTCAGATGTCAATTTTTTTAAGTAACAGTAATTCACAAAAATACTGGCATTTCAGTTCTCAAAATTAGCACATTAAACTGAAATATTACATCACTAAAAACCAATATTGTGAACATTAATGTCCCCAGGAGATATTTTGTTCTGACCCAAGTGTCAGGAATTGAGCTATCCCTGAACAGGCTGTTTGCTTGGTCCTCTGGGCAGTGTGTTGTGGATTGGACCTGGCTGCTGTAGCCAACACACAGCCTATGTCTGTGTTAACTCCAATCACCTCATCCTCCCACAGTTCTTTGTATTCTCTTGGTGTAGTCTGTCTCAGCAATTGGACTGGACCAGAATGACAGACTTTACCAGCAGTATTAGATGCTTCTATTCCAAAGGCCAAGCCACTGAGTTTCAGTGTGATCTGTGAGGTAGTCTAACTACCATAGAAAGCCAAATGCGGCATGACAGGACAGGGAAATGGACTTAGGAGGGAGGGAGGAGTGAGTTCACTGTGGTCTTTGAGTTGGTGCTGAAAAGGCATTGGGCGAGACTGTTCAGTGGTTACAGAGCACTTCCAAAGTCCTCAAGTTTGGTTCCCATCACCTAACCCCTGCTCCAGGGTATTGAGATGCCCTCATTTAGCATCTGCGTGTATTCTCACATTCATGTGCCATACAGACATATGAATATAGTGTGTTTAAAAAGAGAAAGGCTATGCTGGACACCACGGGAGACCTTGAAGAGAGCACACATGGCAATGGACTTGCAAGGGTTGAGGTAAGGACAAGGCCAGTGGATGTGTGCATAGATCTCTAGCTAACAACAAGGGATTGTGCAGAGAAATACGAGACTGAGGGATGAAGCTTGGCCTTAGGCCAGCAGGGGTCAGCAGCTCCTGTACTGTGCCAAGAGATGGATGCTAGCAAGCACTGTATGTGTGCATCTTAAGTTGATAAGTATGGCTAATTTCTGTCCACACAGGGCTCAACATTGGACCCGTAGTGGCTGGAGTCATTGGAGCTCGCAAGCCTCAGTATGATATCTGGGGCAATACAGTAAATGTTGCCAGCCGTATGGACAGCACTGGGGTGCCTGACCGCATCCAGGTGAGTGCAAACCCAGATACCACTCATAGCATCCACACGAAGGCCCTCAGTTGCCAGGAGGTTTTCACTGCAGGCCATACACAGTTCACAGTTTCTCTTCAGATCCAAGAGTGATGTGGCAGTCAGGGATGGGTCAGAGCTTCAGTACCTTGGACAGAGCCCTAGGCCTGTGCAGAACCCTCTGCTGAGCAGTTGGGCAGGCATGTAAGAGTGCTAATGGGAAGCCTGGTCCTCCCCAACCCAGGAGGAGCAGACAGCTGTAGGGGGCAGGTTTCCAGGCCTGGGGAGGATGCTGGTGTCTTTACAGCTCCAGCATCCTGGGAAATGGGAATTACTTTCCCTTTCTCCATCCTTCGAAAGCTGGTGTTGGTGATCCCTGGGCCTGCAGCTTTTTAGTCCCTTCACTTTTCTCAGACTTGTAGTCTTCTTGTTCCATTCTGATACAAGATGTACCTCTACACACCTGAAGGTTCTGGTGCACCATGGGAAGTCAGCTTCTCTGGCCTGTTCCTAAAGCTGCTAACTATACCATTTCAAAGTGTTTTTGTTATATTACACTGTTTGGATGTCCCTCGTTTGTCTGCCTTGTCCAAGGTGCCATGCCTTTCCCCTACTTCCCACTCTTGTGCCGAGGAGGGAGAAAGTCGGTGTGGGTAAACAGTGTCTAGTTCCCCACCTTAGTCTTGCTATGTGGGTTCACTCGGCAGCTTCCTGGCATCACAGCCATACTTTACCCCTAACACCCACAGGACAATATAACTGATGAGGCCCCACTGAGTTCTCTTTGTCTGAAGAGCCAAGACAGAGACAGGCCTGAGCTCTGGAGTGGCATCCAGACTCTACCATTGGCTAACTGTAACCACAGGCAGGGAATGTACGTTTCCTATGGAGATGAAATGAGACAAGACGTGGCTCTCTGTTCTGTCATGGAGCCATTTTCTAGGCAAGACCCACAGTCCTACCCTCAGCTATCAGCAGTGTCTGTTTGCTCCTCTGGAAGGCACACAGTTTATGAACCCCAGCCCAGGCTCCAAGTAGCACCTTATGTGAGCCAGTGCTCAACACAGGAAGTGCTGACAAACAACCACCACCACTCTTTTTCTAAGAGTTCCATGGATGAGCCCTCCGCATTCTCATGTCAAAACAGTAGCATGGTGTAGGTGCACAGAAGTCACAAAGAAGTAGATGTGCCCACAGTAGTTCATGGATAAGGTCACTGATAACCTGTCCTCTCCCTTCCTGTGTCTCCTCAGGTCACTACAGACATGTACCAGGTGCTGGCCGCCAACACATACCAGCTGGAGTGCCGGGGTGTGGTCAAGGTCAAGGGCAAGGGTGAGATGATGACCTACTTCCTCAATGGAGGGCCTCCCCTCAGTTAGCAGATGCCAGCTAGAGGTGTCAGCATCCTGGCCTCCAGAGGAATGGAATAGCTTCTTTGTGCACCAGTCTCACAGCTGTGCTGGTAAAATTTCCACTTTGACTCAGAAGCAACTTCTGCCTTTGCTGGTGGGCATGGCCTTTGGCCTAGGCCCAGGGTGCCAGCGTCCTGCGAGCACCATGCTGACCAAAGATGTTTCCCTTGGCAGAAGATTCCGCTAGACTCGAGTTGAGCCTTGAGTTTCCTGACAGGTGCTGCTGCTGCATGATGGAGGTGCCACTGGAGCCTTCATCGGTGGTGCAGCATGGCGCACGGTGGCTGGCCTGAGGAGAGGCCTTGGCCATGATGGGTAGGTAGGCAGGCTCGAAGCTGACCTGGGGGTGCCAGGGATCTCTAGGGTCTGCTTTCCCACTGTGGAGAGGCCATGCTCCCTGATGGTGTTTGGGGGGCAGGAATCGGGGAGGTGTGGCCTGTGCCATCCTCTGTCCACACCTCCATGCACACAGACAGTGCCCTGTAAGAGAAACAGGACTGTTGACAAGGGGGAGGCAAGAGGACACCAAGCAAGGAGCAGTGGCTCTGAGCAAAAGAAAATATTTATTAAATAAAACAAAACAAGTTTTCTGTGCCCTTCTTTAGACTATGCTAGTTGTATGCGTGTAAGAGAGACACAAGCAAACGAGGATGCCACTGGGGTAGGGAGGTGGGAACCCCAACTTGTCTTTTTGTATTTTTTATTTTGTATTATTGAAACCTTGGAGATCTAAGAAATATACCAAATTCTATATTTTGTAAATTCTCTATATTAGGAAACAGCTTGCACAGCAGGGCATTTCTGCTCCTCTGTAGTGTGCATATGTCAGTGTATATATTCATGCTGTGGAGCCGATCCCTGCAGGGTGTGTTCCCCTCATTTCAGACTTGGCAGTTTTTGGTTTTTCTAGGAACAGCCAGAGAAGGGGTGTGTGTTCTTTTGGGGTACTGCACATTCCAATTAAATAGAAGACACACAGACCCCTTTCTTTCTAGCCCCCATCTACATACATCCCACTTCCCAAGTAAATAAATGCAAACAGAACAAGAGCTCAAAAGGTATCGCTCACCTCCTAGGCAGTGTCAAAAGTATTCTGCACTTATTAGTGCTGTCCCTTCACTCCCAGAGATACAGTGTGATACACTCCCTTCAGAAGCAGCTCCTACAGATTCCTGGGAGCTCAGTAGTGGCTATAGCTAGAGGATACCCAGCCTATATGGCCTACTCAGCTGGCCCAGGGTTTGGGGAAAAGGTATGACCTTGCCTTCTACCTTAGCAAAAATTTTGCCTACTTTTGGTGGGAGGGGATAGTTAAACATACCGAGGAGCAAATACTATTTTTATAATTTCTAAGAACACACTTGGAAAATGATATTCTATTACAGATAAACTTGAACAGCATCCTTATTGTCTGTGCCCAGATCTTTTCATTGCTTCTCAGGGCGCAATTATTCTCCCCTCTAACAGGAGGGAGTAAAGGTGAGGTGGCAGCTATGCGCCAGCTCAATGTTCCCTTAATGCCCACCTTCATCACCCTCCCCTCCCCAGTTTGAACACAGCCTCCAAAAGCAAAATATGGACCCAGAACTGCCACTCCACCCTCAAGTCCTGCATTGCCCTCACCTCCAGCACAAGGGGGCTGCTTCTCTCAAACTGTTCCCAAGTTCCTAGCTCTCCACATATCCTACCAGTGCCGGCAGGTTTTTGTTTAGCTTCCAACCAGAGTACAGTGTGCGTGCTGCGTTTATACTGTGTTCTCCCTTTGGGTCAAGGCCTCGTGGAGGCTTCTCCCCATTCCAGAAGTGACTGGTGACAGCGTGCAGTGCTAGCTCTTCGTTCCCTCTAAGGGGTGTGTGCACTCTTTTTATTCCTGCTCTTGCAAAAAAAAAAAAAAAATGATACAATTATGATTTCCCATGGAAATTGAAAAGTCTATTTAAATAATTTAACTATTAAAAACACTTTCACTGGTAATGTGTTCTGGTCTGGTTTTCATCTTGGGTCAGGGTGCAGGAAGGATGTGGCAAAAAGAGTAGCCAGAGCATTGGAAGGAGTTGAGATGTGCAGGGATGGCAAACTAGTCTGACTTGCACAGCTGTGTTGCATACCGAGATGGTTCCCATGCAAATACCATCTCGCTAAATCATCCTGATCAACACATTTCACTGAGGAAGAAACTGAAGTGCAGAAAGCTTGTACTGTTTGCCTAAGAACACACAGCTGGTAAGTAACAGGAGGTTCAGAGCAAGTCTACTGCTGTCAGAGTCCAAAAGGGACCCTTTTCAGCAGATCCTATTTGCTGTACCCATCAAATTAAGGATTAGATGGGTCCAGGAAATAATTCTAGAGGGGTATGGGCAAATGACAATGGAAACAGGTAACATGAAGGGACCTATAAGGAAGACTTCCCTGCCCTCACTGCAGCAATGACCACACAGTCCTGGGCATGGCAGGCCTAGACTTCATTAGAGTTTCTGATGTACATGGGAAAGATATTGAGGCACACCATATAGAAATAAAACTCTGGCTGGGCAGTTGTGTCACATGCCTTTAATCCCAACATTTGGGAGGCAGAGGCAGGTGCCTCTGAGTTTGAGGCCAGCCTGGTCTACAGAGAGTCCCAGGACAGCCACAACTGTTACACAGAGAAACCCTGTCTTGAAAAACAACAAAGAAACAACCTCTGATGAAGAAATTGTAAATTGGCAGGGCGATGTCAATGTATGCCTTTAATCCCAGAACAAGTAAATCTCTGTGAATTAGGGGCAAGCCAAAACTACATAGAGAGACCCTGTCAGAAAGAGAGATAGACTCAAACTTCCTGGCTATTATTGGTCAAAGTGGGAACCCAACTCCTAAAGAAATCCACCTGCTGTGGCTGGACCTTCAGGCAGCCCAAGACAACACGCGCACACACACACATATAACCACATGATCACCCAGAAGGACAGCTCAGAAGTCCTTCCCATATTCATCACACCCACTGAGCAAATCCCAGAGAATAGGTTCAGCGCTACATTTCTTCCAAAGCATATCCCTATTAGGGAGCTGATTCATAGAACTTATTAGAAAACATTCCACTGGTATACCGGTCATGTCCCAGCACTCCATCCCTGTTTGTAGCTGAGTAACATGATGTTAGCAAGGAATTGGTGGAAAGCTACAAGGACTTCCTGTATTGAAGACGATGAAGCCAAGTCTGTCATGGAGCCATGCTACTTTAAAACTTTCAAAGTTACACATAAATTTATGAATTTCCAAAAGCAAAATGTCACCCGAGAGGCATAGAGTTCTAAGGCTAAGCTGAGGTTTTTCACATGGTGAATTGGCATAATGATTCAACAGCTGTACAGCAGTAATTAATAGACCCTGAACGTCCCAGCATCGGACAGCAATGCTGAACGCACTCTGGGCAGAAGCACTTAGACGCTGGGAAGCAGAGCCAAGAAGCCTGACTGCTCCTGAGCTAGAGAAGGCTAACAGTAACAACTCCAGGAAACCATAGCTTTTGTGTCACCATCTTAAAGTAAAGTGACATGCTAAAAAGAATGAATGCATACCTCGGAGAATATTTTCTCTCTGCTGGGGCTTGTAGCAGGTCCTAAGAGTTCAGAAGCAGCTTGCCACTTGCCCAAGATGCTCTGTCCATAGTTAAGGTCTACAGAAGGGACTTGTCACTCCTCAATGTCAAAAGTTAATGAGTGGGGCACTGAGATGCCTCAGCAGGTAAAGGCACTTGCCACCAAGTTTAATAACCTGAGTTCAATCACTGGGACCCATGTGGTGGAATCATTCCCACAAGTTGTTCTCTGACCTCCATACACACACTGTAGCATAAACACACACACACACACATTTTAAATTTGGTCATGTGAAATCCTTCTAGGTTTTCTAAAAGCCCCAGGGTTCTGCTTGTATGAGGGGGATACACACATACATACACACACAGCCTTTTTGCTATCTTGCCTCTCCTTCCTTCTCATCTGCAGGGTCTCTATCCCACACAAGAACATTGCCTAGTGAGGACAGCAGCCTGGAAGGTCCCCAAGGTCCCCTCTGGCATTCTCTAAGTATCTGTGCACCAGACCACACATAGCACCAGCAATTCAGCTAAGATTTTGACTTTATAGCTCAGGCAGAGGCAGTGTGGCAAAAGCAATCATGCCGTGGGGGTTCTAATATGATTACCTCCAAACTAAGTCAGAAAAGACCTTTGCTTTGTCCTGAGCAGCAGCTGTGCAGGACAGCACCACTGGGCACTCTACCTTGAAGCTCTAAACCACGGGCTAGAGCGGTCACAGAGCAGGAAGTCTGTCTACAGAAGTGGAGGTTAGAAAAGAAGGCCCTAGGTCAAGGAGGCAGCCTCCCAGCCCTCCACCTCAGCTCCACAGAGCTAGTGAGCAGGACAGAGCCACCCCAGCTCATGGTGACAGCACACTGGTCCCTACGACCCCTTTCATGCTTCCCAGAACTCACAGGGAACTTCATCACTGCTTTCATTGCTGGCCAACTTCTAATTCAGGCCAGGCTGTCTAGTCTTGGGTTTGTCAGCATCTCTGCTTAGCCCTACTTTCCCTAGTTTTCCAGTTATGCAAAATTTGCTTCCCCACTTTGTCAGTTAGCCACTGTGGCACTCCCGACTGGCTCTCACAGCTTTCAGAGCAGTGCATCTTAATCTTTTTATAGCCATGCTATATTTGTGCTTTTCAAGAATGCCTTTCAGCTGACAGAACTGTAGGCTGCAGGCTGTGGCTGCCTATCTCCTTCTCCTCACCTTCCTATCAATGCAGACTCACAGGGCCACTAGGAATGGTGTCACTAGGGATGGTGTCATCCAAGACTGTCAGGTAGACAGACAAGTATAATCAAAGCAAAGCCTGTTGAGGCCACACTGGACAAGGCAAGGTCCCCCAGTACCCTCGTACTTTGGGACTAGGAGGGGACTAAAAGGCATAACTTACCTCTTT